CGGAATCATTCCACACCAACTCAAAACCTCTTATCAACGAACTGTTACTGGCAAAAAGAGCTCATCATACACCATATCGACCATGAGGATGCTGGTCTATGGAGAAAGGCACTCGTTCTGGGTCAAGTTGCAAACACACCTTGGACTGGTATCGATCACTGCCTGGATGGACTGAGAAACTTGAGGAAGAGAATGATGAGACCTAAAGTGATAGATACTNGTTTTGGTCTAAGTTGCAAACACACCTTAGCCTGACAACGGTCACTGTCTTGATTGGGCTCGAAATCATGTTGTGTTACTCTAAGGCCTGAAGAGAAGAACACTCGACCTGGGCCAAGTTGCAAACACACCTTGGACTGGTGTCGATCACTGTTTGGATCAGGCAAGGGAGATAAGCTAGTGTTCTTGAAAGCTTCCCTTGTGAAAAAAAAAGAACAAAGACATTTGATTAATAAAAAAAAAGGGAGGTTGGGGATTCCAAGTTTCAAATCAAGCACTCATGTGTTNAGAGGTGTATGATGGTGCCTCAAATACCGGTTCAGAGCTGGTAAGTTGTCTTTTTCAAACTTACAATTTTTGTNGTATTGATTCAGTGTGTAATTTGCATTAGTCACCGGTTAGTACAATCAACACTGAGAGGTATGGTAAATCACTATTTCTGATCAAGACATAACTGTCCTCAAAAAGTGTAAATGTCTGGTTTCTCACTTGAATATCGTGTCTTAAATTTTCATGGGGTCCTCACTGTTTTCTGTGCAAAGTGTGTTAAACGCTGAAAGATGTGTGTTACACAATAATGTGATTTCAAGAAAATTGGACATGAACTTGGGTTCTAATTTCATGTGTTGTGTTTTGGGCTTGAGGCCCATTCGTGGTGTTTTTAACATGTGTGCTTGAGTGTGTCTTAGGGTTTTCAGATTNCCGCGTGGGTATATTATATTCTCACTCGGCGACGATTCATTCTTCAGAAATCCTAAGAGCTGTGTGACACAAAAACCCAATTGTGCTTTGTCTTGCTAGACAAATCGCTTGTTATTTCACAAATGGATGTTCGATTCACTCGTTCTAAGGACGCAAAGCTGATGGCAGCCGCCTCCAAAGTGGGTCAGAAGAAGAACTCAGCTGCCACATCGCAAGATCCGTCACAAGTAGTTGATATTATAAAGCCCTCAAGTGTTCAATCGTCCCAATGTCTCCGAAAGAAACCAGTTCCAGCAACGGAAGTTGCCTCAGAAGATGATGGGATGACTGATGGCTCGGATGATGTTGAGCCTAGCAGTGAAGACATGGAGACCAAGATTGCAACTTCGTATGATGACCATGAGCCAAGGTATGCAGCAAATCGACGGGGTCAACTTGAGAATGATCACTTGTTTCCTGAATTGACCAAGCATTCAAACAGAGTGTTTAATCCAACCTTTGCTTCTGTTGCTGCGAGTGAAAGGTATGCGTCTACTTTTAGTCTTCGAGACTTTCACACACAAAGGTATATCGCTCATGATGATCCAAATATTCAAGAAGCGTTTGCGATTATTGAACAAGCTGGTTTAGTTTACACTGTGGTGGATGTCATTGGGTTTGTGGATTCCGTTGTTAGAGAATTCTATGCCAATCTTGGTGATTTGGACTGTAAGAGTGACACTACTCGGGTCTATGTGCGAGGAAAGAAGTATGAGTTTCCTGCAACCATCATAAATCAGCTGTTTCAAGTCACTGTTCCTGATGAGTTAGATGATTGGGAAGCTGTTCCCATTGCCGTAGCTATAGCAGATGTTACTGGTGGGAGGAAACATCATTGGGAAGGAACATGTACCCGTCATCTCACGCCCACAATGGCTGTGTTGTACAACACTTGCTGCATGAACTGGACACCAGATTCCAATAACTCTACATTGAACCCGAGACGTGTCAAGTTTATTCATGCTGTCCATACCAAGAAACGGTTCAACTTTGGGAGGTTGGTCTATGATTTGATAGTGGAGAACTCTAATATTAAAAACGTCAACGGACTTCTCACCTTTCCGAGTTTCATATATCGACTGCTGTATTTCCAAAGACTTGTTCCTGTCCGCCCCCATGATCAGCTCATAGATCTTCCGTTGGCACTCACTCTTGATGAAAAATCCGGGAAAGGATCCGATCATGAAGACGAAGCAGAACCAAACTAGGTTCGTGATCTAAAGCGTCTTGAGAGCTACAGTCGTGCCATTCGAC